TGGTTGAATTTGGTCAGGTATAGGCCGAGTAATCTTCATTCAAATTTTAGATATCTATAAAAAAAAACTGTAGCTAAATTTTTTTTTAACTTTTAATGAATGTTTCTCAACAACTACTATACAAATTCAGTAAATTTTTTTTTATTTTAATTCTATAAACTCTTAGAATTAAAATAAAAAAAATTTCATTGAATTTGGATAGATGGTTGTCGAGAAATCTTTGCTTGAAGTTTAGAAAAAGAAAATTTTGTCTGATTTTAGTTCTTTTTCAAAGATATTCTAATTTCTTTTAAACTTCTAGCAAAGATATCTCGATAACCACTAAACCAAATTCAATATTTTTTTATTTTGATTCTGCAAAAATACAGGGATTAAAATAACAAATTTTTACCGAATTTGGTCAAGTAGTTACTGAGAAACCTTGGCTAGAAGTTAAAATTTTTGGATGATCGCTAAATTTTGATTGGTCGTGCGAAATTTTTTAGGTTGGTATACGCTAGGTGATTGGTTAGAAATCAGAGGTTACTGGTCAAACCCCGAAAAACCTGAAACTTATAGCAAATAATCATTATTGTTAATCATCAGCGGGATAATTAAATTTCGGGATTTTAACCTGTAACCAGAGTTCTAGGCTCGAACATAGTCGGCTAAGGATTTAGTCAAATCGAAAGGCTACGTACAAACACTAGTTTGAATACACAGATACAGCAAATTTTTATTTTAAACTACCTGGTTCTGGTTAAAATTTATTTGCATACGATTTTCTGTGTATATATCACACAGTAGAAATAACGTATATTTTCTGTGGGTATATTAATATAGTAAATGTATACATCATAACAAAATAAAGGTTATCTATATACAAATCAATATAAAATATAATGACACTTGCATGAAATATAATAATTGTAGGTTGTGATAATTTTTGTACAAAATCAACATCAAATATGAATGAATAATATTATAACACCCAAAATTAAACGAGCAATTTCCGAAATATTCCAATATTGGCCAGTGTTATACACTGCATTTACTATATGGAATGGTAATTTTCTTACATATCAGATTGTTTTTTTTTTCTTTAAATAATCTGTAATCACTTAAATATGTATGTTATTAGATAAAAATTAAACATAGATTTATAGTAAATTAATAGTTTTGATATTAAAAGTTCCCAATGGAGCAATGGACTGGAGCAGATGAAGATGCCAATGGAGCGCGGAAATACATTTAAGGTAGTATTATGCAATTTGTTTTGGCATTTCTGGCAACGGTGGTAGGGGATCCTCTTTCAATCTTTTTAGTATATCTTCAGCCCTAATTGCGATACTCATACTTCTAGAAACTCTTAGGTCTCCTCCCTCTTTGCCACCTTTTCCACCACGTTTCTTTGCTCGAGTTTCTAAATCTCCACCATCACGCAATTTTTCCAATAAGTTGTCCATTAAATGTTTGTCATCTGATTGAGCTGCCATTTGCACTCCTGTGCTCGGCTTAGCCAATTTCTTTCGTTGTTCAATCTCCTGTAAGTTTAAAAGCAGATATTTAAATAAATTAAATGTTGAACGTAATAGGCAATTGAATTTGAGAATAGAAATTACCTCTTTTCGCTTTTTAGCAGCTAATTCGCGGTCTCTTGTTGCTTTATTATCATTTCTAACCCGCTGTAATGAATAAATTAATATTAAAAATAAATATCGTCATTTTTGAACTTCACTGTGTATGATAAAAAAAAAAAACGACTACGCTAATATCCGGAGCATTAATTCGCGATAAAAATTTCTTTGATTATGCCAATTGGCTAAAAAGCCTTGAATCATTAATTGATGGAATCGATAACATTTTTGGCCTTTATCTTTCAATAAATTGTATTACTTGGATCTGGACAATAATAATAATACATACCTCAAAACTAGTGAGAAAAGTCTTAAATATTCCAAAGAATTCATCAGGTTTAGTGTTTTTGGGATCTTCTCCAAAGTATGCTACAACATCCTTATATGCAACTTCCATAGAAGTATATTCCATCTGTAAATCTTCAAACTTTTGTTGTGACTTTACAACAAACTCTTTCATTATTTCAGGGAATCTGTCATTTTTTTCTAATTCAACATCTTCTCCAAAATGTTTTTGTAATTCAACTGCTAGTTCGTTTAATTTTGTTCCCATTTGTCGATATTCGTTTGTCATTTCTTGTTGTGATACTAAAAAAGTGATTAAATAAATATTATAAAAAAATACTTATTAATGTATATGGTCTGTATTGAAAGGTTCAAAATAGGATTATCATACCTCTACAAGCAGATCCACATTCCGCTATCTCATCGACAAAACCCAATACATTAGGTAGTTTCGATTCAATTGTCTCAGCCAAAAAGTGTAATAAAGTAATTGATGAACTTTTCGCAGCCTTAGTATCCACGAGCTATATTACAGTCGACATTTTAAATTTGGAAAGGAAATATTAGTAATACAGCTCAAAATTACTAATTTATGAATAATTTTTATAACAGATGCTGAAATTTGGACTTATTAACATGAAATTTTAAAATTTTGGATACGTCTTTTTTTTTGCCTTTTTTTGTAGTTTGATTAAAATTTAGGGTTGGTGTTATTAAGAATATATTGGCTTATACTTTCAAAAAAGGATCACAAATTTCAGCACAAGCAACGACAAAAATGATTATAAATAATTACGCAACCTTATTAATACTTTGAATCTTAAATCCGAAAGCACCACCTTTGTTACCAGAACCATTCATATAATTTCCAATTAATAAAATAAACTAAAATAAATTATAAAATTATAAAAGAAATTTTAGCACAATAGAATTAATTAATAGGTTTAAAAATCGTCATATATATAATCCTTACGTTTAACAATTCTTTAAATTGCGCTGATTCTTTAAGTGCTATGGATGCATTCAATACTGATTTAATATCCTACAAAATAAATATTTTATGTAAACTTATTTAACAATCAAATCTCCATGCCAATAAAATTTTTTATGATTGCATACACGTTCCAAATCTCTGAATTTCTCGTCAAAAGTAACGTAAGAATACATAAATTTAAGGCGTTGTTCATATCGATGAATCTTCATCACCTATTAATTTAAAGTATAATATTTTGAGTCGGATATTAACAAAAGTCAACAATTACTATTATTGTTAATATTATTATTATTAACCTCAACAAAGAATCGATCAGCACGAGCCAAATTTGCGGGCATGTCTTCTTTATATACAGATAGTTTACCACGCTAAAAAATATCGAAATAGTTATTATATGCGTTCCTTAAAATGCATATATTATTTGATAACATACTTCTTCAGCTGTTGGAATATATAACATTAACTGATTAAGCAAATTCTCATTACAGAAGTTCTCATCAAACTCAACGAGCCTCTTATGTATTTCTTCAAATGATATATCTTTATAACGTCCAAGTGCCACATCTTCAACAGGAAAAGAATTAATAAACGGATCAAATTATATTAAATCGAACATAGCGAACGTGACTGCATTCTTACTAATATTATAAGCTCTCTTTTGATCAAGAACACTAATTTCTTCCTCCTTTACAACCTTCGGTTCTGAGAAAATAAAAATAATATTGGAAGATTAATAAAAAAAATCTAGTATCAAAAAATCCAATTACTAAATGACAAAGCCAACATACTCTCTTTATGCTCATAAGCTTCAAATAATTTCTCAATGTTAGAGAACACGTCGGTTTCTCCACCAAGTAACTTAATTAGCTCATCATCACTCAAATTTGCTTGTCCCCAAAGCGTTTTATTAACAGTTAAATGATTAATCTTATCCCATTGAAGTTGCTTAAGTTTCTTCATAGTCATGTATGGAACTTCTTTACGATTATCTACACAAAAATATCAAATTAACAAATTAGAAAATGATAGTGCACATCGAATTGAGCCGCGTAGTAATTGTTATAAAATTAGGCAATTTATCAAGAAAACTAGTATTGATACACTTGCAAACGATGCATTGGGCGATCATAATTATATCAAGTTTAACGCCACATTTTATGAACATATAATGTATCATTCGCAAAGGATGTGGTAATACAAAAGAGATGTGCAAATGCCCAATTTCTTTATTCATACTAACTTGAAGTTGCCTGAGCTCGAAAACCTCCTGGTGGTGGTGGACCTCCGGCTTTCCCTGGAGGTGGTGGGGGACCTCCAGCACCTCTGGCTTTTCCTCCCGGTGGTGGCGGTGGCGGTGGACCTCCAGCTTTCCCTGGTGGTGGTGGTGGCGGCGGCGGACCTCCGGCTTTACCTGGTGGTGGTGGCGGCGGCGGAGGACCTCCGGTTTTTCCTGGTGGTGGTGGCGGAGGTGGTGGTGGGCCTCCAGTTTTTCCTGGTGGTGGCGGAGGTGGTGGTGGACCTCCAGTTTTTCCTGGTGGTGGCGGAGGTGGTGGTGGTACGCCACCAACTTTTTCCGATGATGGCGGCGACGGTATATTTGAAGACTGAGAGTTTGGTGGGGGTGGAGGTGGCGGTGGTATGTTCGAAGACTGCGTAACTGGTGGTGGGGGCGGTGGTGGTGGTATGTTCGAAGACTGTGGTGGTGATGGTATTTTTGAAGAAGCTGGGGATGTAGGTGATGGTATTTTTGAAGAAGCTGGGGATGTAGGTGATGGTATTTTTGAAGAAGCTGGGGATGTAGCTGAAGGTTGAGACGATAAATTTTCCGATTCTGTTGTTTGCGTTGTCTGTGAAATTTTAGATTCAGATTCAGTAGGCAAACTGGGTTGAGGTTGTATCTTAGACGTCACGTCAGAAATAGGCGAGGTTTGTGAAGTTGATGTAGGTGGTTGTTGAGATTGTTCATTTGAGAGTTCACTTGCTGATGTATGAATTAATATACCATCATGACGTTGTTTAAGTTCTTTCAAAACACCAGCATCCATCCGTGGAGGTTGTTCAGGAATTCTGAACCCACCAGGAAAGTTGGCTTTATCATAATCAGGATATTGCGATGGTACGTTCTGACTGCTCGTATTACCAATGTATTCATTTGCATCTGGCATCTACATTAAAGAGTCCAATGTCAATAACTATAAAATTGGATTGTTGCTATTTTTTTTTTTTTTAATGGCATTACCTAAATAAAATTTGTAATTATAACGATATTAAAGATAAGAATTACCAAGTATAGGTATCTTATAATCACATCGTTATTATTACAAAATCTAGAATAGGATAATTAGACTTCATTAACAAACCTTTACACCTCCATCTCCATCTCCAAATGAAGGTGGTGTCCAAACTTTTCGTTCACCTTCTAATATCCTTTCCGTCTCACGTATTTTCTGCATTCTTTCTAATTGTTTAACAAGTTCTGTTCGATCAACAGTAGTATCAGTCCCATATCCTTGCTGTTCCTTTATTATTGTCTCAAGCTCTCGAAGTTGAACATTTAAATCAGCAAGTTTTTCTCGATAACTGGCTTCTAGATCTGCGTTTCGTTGTTGAAGTGTCTTAATAGTGTGCCGAGAGATGCGTAAGAGTTCTTCGAGAGAATCAATTTTCTTTTTTAATTCACCGTCTAAAATGTGGGCGAAATTGTTATTACATTTAATGTTCAAAGAGCATATAGTAAAATCAATAAAAATATAGTGTATGTCACCTGACTCAGACACATCCTGTTTTGACATTAACTCTTGTTTCTCACGTAAAGCTTTTAACTCAGCTTTAGCTTCCTCTGCTTCTTGAAGGGCATCATTGAGTTTATCTTGATCGACCATCTTAGCAAGGACCTGTGAAACGGTAAGACCCACAGACTGACTCCAGTCTTGGTCAAGCCCATGACGATCAAGAACAACTTGCGTGACTAATGAATCAATAAGCTGGAAATATTTCGTTCTACAATATATATCTTCATATCAGTATCCTCAGTTTACCGTTTTTATTAACTTTTTAGTATATGGGGGAGTCAGCAGAAAGAGAACAAATCTTTCTTTTATATATATATTTTTTTAATTCTTAAATTAGAATATTTCAACAACTATCAAACCAAATTTCATTTAATTCTATAATTGCATAGAATTTAAATAAAAAAAAATTTTTTATTGAATTTAGTTTGATAGTTATTTAGATATTTTATTTAAAATTTAAAAGATTTTACTTGGAAAAATTTGTTCTTTTTCTACAGATTCCCCCATATTTCTTTCTAAGTAATGAGCCAAACCTAGCCTCGCCATCATCACGAATAAGTAACAAATGTTGCATAGCCGATAAAAAAAAGTCGTATGAACGTGTCCCTTGTACTGAACCAAGTATACACTCAAACACATCACGTGGATCAGTATAGGCAAAAAATTAAGGAATATATAAAATAAAATACGATGAAAAATATATATATATAGTATATAATAAAGGATATGTCATGTTCTGCAAAATTCGATGATTATAAAAATCCAAGACTTCTTCGTAATCCAATTCACTTTCACGTTCAAACTTGCTTATTTGACGATTAATAAGCTCGTGATTAAACGCTTTCATTTTCTAAGTATCAAACCATTGTAAATCGATAGGATTCGAAATAAGGTAGTTTACAGCATTTACAGTATAATTTGAAGGCTTACATCAATTATACGCGTTAGTCCACATGCGTGTAGCTGGTTCCTTAAATGTACCCGAATTTCAACGTCATCACATACACCGATTATTGAATTTATCAGAATCATATTTGCTAACTATTGTAAAGGCGAAACATAAAATTATTCCTGAGAAAAAAGTACTTGTAAAAGAAGCACTAAAGATTCTTACCACATATTCCATCAATGAACTGTCCATTCCTATACCCCCTTTTTTAAATTCATCACTTGCATCTACTAAACTCCCATAACGACCACGTCCATCAATTGTGTTTTCCAGTACTCTCATCCAAGCATCAAATCTTCCATGCTCATTAAGAAATTTCTGATGTTGATCAAAGCCTTCTAATACGAGTGTGTGACCGGTGGGGATTTCACAATAACAAAAGAAAGAAAGAACTTCGGCTACCAGTTTGCGGGTGTTTAGTTGAGGAGAAACAAGTGAAAATGTGATACTATGAATGCATGATGAATGCGTCAGAGCTTCTTGAGCTCCCCACTAAATACAAATTAAATAATAAATAAAACAAGATCTAATCACGTAATTTTATAATCAAATGTTTATTTAAACTTACTCTGTTGTTTAACAGTGATTTTAAACATTTAATAATTTCGTATTCCATTTGTAAATCAGCATCTAGCCTAAATTAAAAGAAATAAAGATTTGCAAATAAGTATTACTAATATGAACGAGCAAAAAAAAAAAAAAAAAAAAGACAATTATAAGGATAAAACATTACGCATACTTTGCATGTTTTTTTGTAATACTGCTAAGATAATTTGCAAGAACCTCTAAGCCTTTTGCGTCAATGAAAGACCGGACCCATCTTTGGTATTAATAGTTCATAAAAAAAATTGATGTAAATTTTAATGTCTTAAATACATAAATGCATTAATCACAAAAACAATACAAAACGAGTTTCTCACGTTATAGGAAGTGTCCTTAGAGCAACACTGAGTGAGTTCATATGTTTGAAAGTTATAGTTCCATCCATAATTTTTTTAAGATAATATTCAGGAGTATTAGGATCACCAGCGTTTTGAACGGGATTTTTAGGATTTTTATCTTTAGGCTTATGAGCTTTCTACAATATATAAAAAAAAAAATCGATTGATTACCGATGAGGATTAGGCGGTCCAAGACAAAAAAAAAAAATTTCGTCCAACCCCTACGTTTTCAAAATTACTCTGTATCAACTTCCATTTATTTTCGATTGGCATGGCCAGCATTTTCGAAGATAAATTTCCCAAATCTAACTGTCTCTAACATGTAAAAATGGATGTTAACACGAGTCAATGATCAATTTACGACCAAACGATAGTGGTACATGATAGAAAAGTAAATTATACCATCATATCTAAGAACAAACGTTCAATCTCTTCATCAGAAGGCCGAGAATGATCGGTTTTATCACCTTTGTGATGGCTACCCCAAGGTAACTCAAAAGACGAAAAAGCAGTAGATGTTCTAACAGAATCAATACTTCGTGTAGACCCCGAAGTTTCACTGGAAATGGAATGGTCAAGTGAAGGAGTATAATCTCCTGAAGAAGTTTTTGAAGGGGGATTATTATCATATTGAGTCGTTATTGAGGTATTTGGTTGTGAAGGGTAATGATCAGGGTGAATTGGGTATGGATAGTTTGGATATTGCTGAGTAGGATTGTTATAGGAATGGTTAGGAGATGGTAGGGGAGGTCTTGTATTATCATAGCGAGGAGGATTGTTTAATTCAGCTGGTTGTTTTTTATTTTTTGATTTCTCTATAAATTTTTCAAATTTTCTCATGGTTGAATAATGATTCTAAATGATAGTACCAATACAAATATACAAATCTCAGACTAAAACACAGATCTTGTTCTTTCAAGTAGATCGCCAAAATAAAACCAAGATCTATGTTAATAAAAGATATTAATGACAAGTGTGAAATAATTTAAATAACGATAAATGAAAGCGAATACGAAAATAACAAGTGGGTGTGGCTAAACTTAATCAATAATTAAATTATATAAACAAGGATGAGTCAGCCACACTTTTTCAGCACGAACAAACATTGTACGTGCGTACGTCTGCCATTATAGCGTAAATTACACACGATGCGTATTATTCAATCCACTGGACTACGTATTGATTTCTGGACTTAAAGTCCAATCATGTGAGGTAAAATATTATCCAATCAGAAGTATCAATTATTACGTATTAAATTATGGGATCGTGAGATCGTGTATTATTTAAACATTAAGCCGATCGTTAAACGATCTTAGAATTATCTTGATGAGGCGGTCATTTTGGTGGTAAAATCATTCAAAAACGGCACAATAGATCAAAAGCTATGTTTAAAGATATTAAAACATACTAAGTGAACTGGACAACTGGACACTACATAAAAAAAGTCCAGCATTCTGTAAAGCAATGATCGTAAATGACTCAGTCAATTGAAGACCGGTCTTTATTGGAAATCACTGTCATTATGCGTGTAGAGATATCAATTTTTACCCGTTAGTATAAGGGAAAATAAACTTGTACGTATTCTTGTATTGTATCATAATATTTATGTCACAAATTGTTCGGGATAATGAATTGCATATATCGATATCTTAAAATTTTCATTTAATTTGAATAACTTTTTTTATTACCGTTACAGTAGGGGGCTTCAAATTAACGTTAAAATCAGATAATCTTATTTTATATTTCCGATTTATAATTCAACATATATCGATATAGTAAAAAAATCCTACGCACTTATTTCGAATGCGTCACTTATTTGTTAATTTTGAAACCCCCTAGTACGTAATAGGGGTTTCTAAACTAAAATAAGAAAATCTTATTTTATTTTCCGAATTATATAATCAAACATAGTAAAAATACTACGTATATTACGTACGTACGTACGTATATACGTATTTATGTTGCAAAACAGTAAAATGCGCTAATTTTGACAAGATATATGCAATTAATTATCTCAAACAACTTTAAGGCATGAATAATGATTAACTTTTTTTATAAAATTAGGTTTATCTGGTAATTATTTTGATTGGTTAAGGGTATTAGATTATCAATTAACGTACGTATGTTAAATGACTTTCTAAATAATTTAAGCTTTGAAATAACCCAATGACTATGGTGCGGGAAGCTTTAACTCTCCAATCACGTGATTTTGTTCACTTTTTTATTCATAGTAATCTTAACGGAATAAACCGGAAGTAGACAGTCATTTAATCTAAAATACGAGCATGTGCTAAAAATAAATAAGTTTTTTGTCCGGTTAGTTCCAACACCAATAAATTTTATAAAATTAAGTATAACACGTGGTCTGTATAAAGCAACCTGATTGGTTGAAAAGAGTAAACATATACGTTTACTTTTTTACAATTTCATAGTAAATAGTCAAACTTTAAAAGGCTACTGCTCTATCAGTTTAGATTTAAATCTAAATTTAAACCACAAGTTTTGTTCTTAAAGGCAAGAAGAACTAATCTTGTGGATTAGTTTTACATTTTATATATTTTTAAAGGAGGAGTAGCATTTTTTGTAAAGCTATTTTTTATGGAGATTTAAAGTTTTCCGCACTATAGTTATTTGTCATTTGTGTTATTTGAATCATTTCAAGTTATTTACCATTATTGTCTGGTAACAATCTATACATGCCACAAAAACTATTTCGATATATATATATTATAATTAGTGTTTCTCAGACCCAAACCGAGACCTGGAATTAAACCAAAACTGACAGATCGGATCGAATCTATAATTTTCTGGAACCGGCTACTTCGGATTTTAAAATAGACCCAAACTGATAATACCTGACACACAATATTTCTAATTAGATTTATTAACAATAGTAAAATAATAATCTCAATAGTTATTATTTTTATGTTGGAATTTTATAATAATACTAAGATTGTACTTCTGAAGGGCAAAAAGTACCAAGGCTTAGTATTCCGAAGTTCAGTTCAGTTCAATTTAGGTTCAGGTTCAAGTTCAATTGAACCTAAACTAAACTTTAAATTTTGCAGATCTTTGAACCTGAACCTGAACTGAACTTTAAATTTATGAACTTGAACTGAACCTGAACT